TAGAGATGAATTGAGGTTTCTTAGCTTTACCACAATCATTACTAGTGTGAGAAATCTCTGAGAACATCCATGATGATGGTCCTTTATTGTTATGCTCAAGTTCTTGCTCTACCTTCTTTGCTAGATGAACCATGTCGGCTAAGGTAAAATTATTTTGTAAAGAGACCCGACACTATTTGTCGTTAGAAGGCATGAAATGATCTATCAATAATTTCTTTATCTTCACCCATGTTCAAATGGATCTCTTCCTTGATGATATCAATTCATCAAGAATTCATCCCACCATGTAGAATGGATCTCTTCCTTGATGATATCGATTCATCAAAATTTGTCCCACCATGCAGATGCTTTTCCCTTTAGTCTATAATCTATTAACTTGACTTTTTAATCTTTTGCGATCATCTCATACTCGAAGTATCTATCCACCTCATTAATCCAATCAAGAAAATCCTCAACACGAAGTCTTTCGTTGAATGATAGTATCGTTAATCCTCTATCTTTAATCCTCTAGCATCATAGTTCTCCGTCTTTAATAGCTTCTGTAATCATCGTTGTTAGATTTATCACACAGAGTTAGATCTCATCTCTGATGACCATTAACGCGAACTCTAACTCGTCTCAAATTCAGATGCTCCACTGCCAGTGCAACTTAGTCCACAGGAGTCTTCATATGACTCCCATCTTCAACTCATTGAATAGTTTGACTCTCTGTGAACTCAATTTGGGTAACATGGGTCTCGTAGTATGCCATCGAATTGGAGAAACAGGGCTCTGATACTAATTAATGCAGTGTAAAAGTGATAAACCTTGGAATCCACCAAGGGATGTTCTTTAAGTCTACAAAGAACAATCTCCGAATCCACAAAGAACTTTGCATCCATGAAAAAAATTTGAAAAAAGAAATTTTATTAATAAAAGTGATCTAATAATTCTAGAGTTATATGTCTCTTCCTAAATAGAAAAATAAAATAGGCTCTTTTCAAATTTTCTTCATAAAAGTGATCTGATAATTCTAGAGGCCATTTTATTAAATTTGTTTCTAATCTAATTTGCCTCTAACTTTATTACTAAAAATAAATAAAAGCCAATTAATTTTGCTTTTCTACCAAAAACTGGTGATACTAATACAATTTCGTGAATCTATCAATCCAGATGGCTTCATCTCATCGAGATAGATATAATACATTAGAATCCACATTCTATATTAGGAGATATGATTGTTTCTTTGTAGGCAAGTTAATAATTCATCCATATTCGCATTTGACTTGTGAATGTCTTATTTCTCCATAAATTTCCTTGTTATGTATCCTACATCATTTACCGATTTGGTAGTTGGCATAATTCTAGCATCATTTTGGTACTTAAAGTTTGGCAAAAGGATTTATAAAATTAACTCTAAAATTATACACGTGTCAAATTATATTTAAATTTGATGGATCAGTCTTTCTCTTAAAATTTTATTGATTGATTTGTTAATTTTGTTATATTTATTGATTTAATATCCAATCTTTGCTGATTTTTATAAAAAAAGCTTATTGGTTCACCCTTATCTACAATATTATTGTGTTTTTACGCCCTTCTTAGTCTAATCTAATTACCTCCCACACTTTCTCTCTTCTCTTTCTCCTTCTTTTCAATCACTCTCAAATGTCTTCTCCCTGCTAATGTCAACTTCTTCTATAGAAGATCTAAAGCATATTATCTTTTATTTTTTTACTAAAGATTAAAGATAAAAAATATTTTGTGGTGTTTGGAGGATTGAACTAAAGAGTGAAAG